GTGGCATTCATCTTCTAATCAACTAGTAAGTTTTCTAATGAATTGGGTAGTAAAATAAAATGTCTTAAACATACAGGGTACAGTCTACATTAATGTCTTTGCAAAAGACTAGAGTTCTGTTTCTGCAAACACTACACCTTCTCATCTTGCCTCATTTGCATAACTAAGTTTTTCACTAACTGGTTCAATGCAATTGATCCCTCATTAGGCACAGTGGAGAAGAACAACTTGTATCGCACTTTATGAAAAACCAATGTCACATGTGTCGGTGAATCAAATTTGGTCATTTGTTTGACCAGTGCTGTTTTTCCCCCTCAAACTGTACAAATAGTCATCATTTATCATAATGTTCAGTGTTCAAAGTAGCCCCTCTTTAACACACAAGCAGTGGCAAAATTCTAAGATATTATACGACAATTCGTGTTTCTTATGAAACTAGTAATAGACAAAATGCAGGTCCACGGTCACTTACTTAACAACTGTGGCACAATTAAAAGGCTTATAATTCTATACTGACCTGTGCATAAGTAGAAGTTTGCAACAGTGTCAAAAACCTTGAAATAAAGGCTACCATTTTAAACCTTTTCAGTAAGACTACACTATGATCTCTTACATAAACATATAATATTCCCTTGTTCCATAAATGCTTAAAAACATAACAAAGTATTCAAAAATAAATTATTTTTATATTTCATTGTTATAAATAATAATCTAAACATTTTCACTAACATTTTCAAAGTAGCACCTAGTTTACAGTATTATATATAATTATATTCCTATCTTAAGAAGTGTTAGATATATATATATATATATATATATATATATATATGGTATTTTACAGCTATACATAGTAATGGATATTCTTGTATTCAATGTTAGTCAACTTAGTTGAAAAATATAATTTTGATTTTCACAATTAAGATGAAAACAGGAAAAATACTGGTGTACCTGGTTGTTGATATCAGTCAGATATCTGATCACTGTTGGCACAATAACCAAGGATGTTACATCTGTTAAGTGACCTCCTCGGTCAGAGCAAAAGGTTCCAATATGAGGAACTTGTTCCATAAGTTCAGCTCGTATGCATGGCTCTGAAAATAGTGAGAAATGCAATAAATTAATTATTTAAGATAAGTATGGAATAAACCTCTAAAATATTGTTATCTGCTTGGACCTGAAAACAAAGCAATCAATTAATGACATGAAAGCTTTGATAATGAAAGTTCAACATAAAAACTAATTTTTACCAAAGTAAATTATTTTCTCTTAAAGGAGGATGTATGTGACCATAGAAATAATCTTATTCAAGGATAATAAAATTAAAACTAAAGTAACCCACAAAAAAAAAACCTCCAACTAAAGATATATTTGTGCTTTCACAGTGAAGGAAGAAGCACAGTATTTATAATGATACCGTTGACTTGAAGTATATTTTACAATTATATAAAACACAATAGATACTTCCAAGAATCTTTATTTTTAAAATGATTTAATTTTTTTGTGACTTCATATTCCAACCTCCAGATAAGTATTTTTGATACAAATAATTATACAGAGCAATGAAATCTCAGTTTCATGTATCCTCCAAACAAATAAAAATAAATTATTCAAAATATATTGTCAATATTGGACCAAGTAAGGCAGCTCTCACCAGGAACCCCACCCCTTTAACTCACTACAATAAATATGCAAGAAAACAGGATCTTCCATATGTAACTTGAAGGACTATTTTTTCCCTCTTTGAGTGTTGTTAAGTGGAATGCAAATAGCACAACATTACTGAAGAAATCTTAAAAGCAACACTTATACAGTCCCATTGAAGAACAATGGATGATTCAGTAGAGAAGAATATTTATACATATTGTTTTACTGCCCTGTAAACACTCCCATTACCAAACTTTATACTAGGACCTCAAGCACATTTATATAAAACTTGTTTCAACTTTGACTTTCTCTCTCTCTTTACTATTCTACAGTTTAATGTTTTTCAGTGTGAAATTTCTCCATTTCTAATGCTAAATGTTGGACAGATTTATTTTTCTGTGAATAAAAATATTCTAATTTCAAACCCATTTTATCTTTTTTAGCCTTTATAAATTCATATCCAAAACTTTAAATTCAAGAGCTCACAATACCTGTGAGACTAAATTTGTAAAATATACATAAACAGATTCAAACTAAAAAAAAACAAAAAACTACTACTTTCTCACAGTGAAAATATTGAGGCACCTTTCAAATAAAAAATAAGAAAATATTACCATTCTTATGACTCAATGCTTTTCTATTCCATTGTTTCCTTATTTTTAATTAGATGTTTCCAGATGCTTTATGCACAACAGATATACGACTCCACAGAAGACAATTAGTACGGCATACTGGGATGTACAAAATCTTAGAAATTCTGCCTTTAGAAGTTAAATCTGATAATTGTTAAGTTCTTACCCATATGGGTTCTATTTATGTAGATAACTCTCCTAATAAAGTATATTTTACCCTTTCTACCATGTAATTTGTACATTCATTTTATTTCTTTTCTTTCACATGCAACTGTTTTTAGCCCTTTTCTCTGAATAGTTGTATTACAATATCATAGGTAAAGAGATGCTGTTTCATGCTTTCTTTCTTGTTGTGTAATCTTTCCATATATCAAACATACAACTCAAAAATATTTAATGATAATCAATACCTACTTGAAACACACTTTATACATAAATCAAACCCTTCATCACTTATATATTCAACCTCTGTGAAACTGACATATGCAAATAGAATTAAGCTGTGATGAAACATCAGAAAATCATGCTAATGTCCTTAAACCTGTGAATAATTGTATAGTTAAATATTTTAGCACTCTACTGTAATAATTTCATAACAAACCATACAGTCTAAGAGGCTTTCACGCTCCACCAGTTTGTTGTTCTGGAAGTTATGCTGATTATACTTGATTAATTTTTGCTTTACAAACTTTAAAATTTGCTTGAATGTACATTTTATAAACAACCAAAAATATAAGCTTATCTAATATCTAAAACTTTATTTCAAACTTTTAACAAAGCTCTCCTCTTTAACTTTAACATTCTAAATTTCAGCTTGATGGGAATTCTTGTTTGAGCTACAACTAACTGGAATCATTCCAAACTATGGTTTTGCTTTCATTCCTATGTTTGCAGAAAGCTGCAGTAATCATATTTAAGTGAAACATTTACATTATTTGAGATTAATTAATGTTATGTTTGTTTCTATTACTATTGAATTTTTTACTTATTTCTTGTAAGTTTGTAAATTGACTCAAATCCTTCCATAGAACAAAATATCATATGTATAATAGCTAATTTAAACTATATCAATGCAAATATGTATGAAAATAAATAATGTACTTATATAATATACACATGAAACATTGGTGGTCTTCCAAAGGGAACAGCTTTCCTCAACTAAACTTGTTTAATTTAGTTTTACAAAATAAATAGCACAGGAAGGAGTGATCTGGAGAAACTGCTTGAAAAGAAAATAAAGTGCAAGGGGATTTCTTTTTTCATTATTATTATTTATGACATTCTACTTTTAGCATTGTGAAAGATCTCTTGGTTGTAAGAGAATAATGAACTGTATTCTATGTTTCAAGGTTTAATTGAATGAACAGTATCCCAATTTTATGTATTAAGTGTTTACTGTTCAAAATGTGTTTATTTATTTTGTTTTGTTTCAACACTAAGCTGCACACAGGTTATCTGCAATGCCCATCACAAGGATCAGCCCCTAAATGTTTGCATTATAAAACTCAAACTTACTGCTGAGCTATTAGGTGGCAAAATATTTGGATACCTAAGCACAATGTTAATATTGCTTTGTTTCAGACTTCATTAATAATTTGGTTGTAATAAAATGATTTCCCTTTTTTCTAATCTCCATATAAAATGAAACTGTTTTCGTTAACAATCTGAAAGTCTAAACTTTCTGTAGTATAATGATTATGAACAATTACATCTCTTTTGATTGAGTCTACATCCTGTATTATGCAAGTTACAATTACACAGATGGTTTGTTGTCATTAGACTAATTCTCAGAAATTAATAATTATACAACACGTCTTTAACTGCTCATCTGGCACAATAAGAAAATCTATTACTGCACTTTATACCGACATAAATGTATGTAAAATATGCATAGCAGTTGCTTTGACACAAATAAAAAAAATTTTTTTATTTAGCCAATCAAAAAAAGTTTAAAATATTAAGGTTCATATGAAGTGTTCTAATATAACAAAGTTGTGTAAAAAATTGTTATACAAATATTTAGAAAAACCTACTAGATGAAACCATTATTTAATTAGAATATTTACATGAAATCAAGTTGCTTTAAAACTTCTTAGTATGAACTGTTATAAATGGTCTAATAGATGTAAACTGATGACATGATTTATTTAGAAAAAATACAAAAAACTTTAGTTTTAGCAAGAAAACATATTAGGTCTAAAAAAATTGAGTTTAGTCTGAATGATAAACAAAATTTTTTAGGTATAAAAGTGAAAATAAAGAACTTAGTAATATACAAAAAGTTATTTTAATATAATTAATGGTAAAGGTTTATATATTAATGTTTTAAGGAATACTACTAGCCAAACTATTCATTTTGAATGTTTTCAGGAATACAACATGCCAAACAATTCATTTTGAATGTTTAAAAGAATAATTCTAACCAAACAGTTCATTTTGAATGTTTACAAGAATACTACTAGCCATACAGTTCATTTTGAATGTTTACAAGAATACTACTAGCCATGCAGATAATTTTGAATGCTTTAAGGAATACTACTAATCAAACCAGTTCGTTTTGAATTTTTTTCAGGAACACTGCTAACCAAACAGTTCATTTTGAATGTTACAAGCATGCTACTAACCAAACAGTTCATTTTGAATGTTTTCAGGAATACTACTAATCAAACCAGTTCATTTTGAATTTTTTCAGGAATACTAGTAATCAAACCAATTCATTTTGAATTTTTTTCAGGAATACTAATAATTAAACCAGTTCATTTTGAATTTTTTTCAGGAATACTACTAATTAAACCAGTTCATTTTGAATTTTTTTCAGGAATACTACTAATCAAACCAGTTCATTTTGAATGTTTTAAGGAATAATACTAATCAAATCAGTTCATTTTGAATGTTTTAAGGAATAATACTAACCAAACAGTTCATTTTGAATGTTTTAAAGAATACTACAATCAAACAGCTCATTATTAATGTTCACAAGCATACTACTAACATTCATTCTCAATGTTTTCAGAAATAATACTAGCCAAACAGTTCATTCTGAATGTTTTCAGGAATAGTACTAGCCAAACAGTTCATTCTGAATGTTTTCAGGAATAATACTACAACAGAAATTACATATTTTAACCAAATAAAAATTAACATTAATGGGAAACTAAATACTGATAAAACCTACTGATGTAGTTATTTGAGAAAAAACAAACAAAAAAACAACAAAAGTACCACAGTTGTTTTTACATCTGATACAAAAAAATGATTTCTTAGAATTTCTGAATATTGATACGGCACAATTCTCAAATAAATTAAAGAAGAATGTGTATTGTAAATTTCAAATAAAATTAACACTTTGTTTTATAATAGCGAATCATTCGGTTTAATATTAAGAATATGATACTTCTGACGCGTGCCTGACGCATGCAGAACTCGTGCCTTTCACAAGTGGACAGACTACTAACACACGCGCATTGCTCGTGCAACTAACAGTTTTTGCTACAAGAAGCTGTTGCTGTTCCCGACATACAGAGAAGTCAGCTCCGACGTATAGGGCCATATATCAATCTAAAAGCAAATATACAACATAACAGTGAATGTACCAGGTCATCAAGCCAGAGCTAGAAATCAATTATTTTCAGTTTAACAAACTTATCACATTCTGTTGTAAACGACAGATAGAAATCATGAAGTTCACATGTTTATTTTCTTTCTTAAAACCAAGATAAAACCTTTATTTCAGCAATTATAGTAATGAACATAAAAATGTATCAATACTAGATATGCCTAATCTTAAATAAAAATGAAAGGAGTGGGACTAAACA